AAAAAAAATTTAATAAATAATTTATGTAAATATCTCAACGACGACTTGTTGGGTAGTAGTAATAATAATAATAATAATAATTAATTGATAATTTATTAATTTTTTTTATGTATCGAAAAAAAAAAAATGTTTAAAATATTTTATGTAATTATTTATTTATTTATTTTTTTTTTTTTTTTAATAGGAGACGACCATCTAGCAGTTACTATGGAAAAAGAGGGATGGGCATGCGCGTGGACCGAGTGGTCAGGTGGACAAGCCAATCATTGAAAATTGTATTTGCGGCTATACTTTCTCATCAAATACTTATCTTGATAACGCCAGGTATGATGAGCATTTTTTCTCTCCCCCCCTTCTCCTCCTACCCCCTCATTCCCTCCTAACCCCCCACGAAAGAAAAAAAGTTGTTGTTTTTGACAATGGTTTATTTTTGACCGTTAAAAAGAGGGATGGAGAAAAAAAAAATTTTTTTTTCGTGGGATTTTATTGTTTACCAAAATACCTTTTATTATTATTATTATTTACAAAAAAGGGAGTTGGTTGTTGGTTGTTGTTATTCTTACGGCGGAATACCTTTTAAATGGATTTTATATATATAAAAAAAAAAACGTTTGTTTTATAATTCAACCTTTTTTTCCCTTTCCTCCATTTCTATTTTCTATTTTGTTTTATTAGGTAGTGAAATATTTCAGGTAGAACAAATTATTTTCTTGTGAAAAATAGTAAAAAAAAAAAAAAAAAACGTAAGAAGAATAATCAAGAGTAATTTTTCACTTACATTGTTTCATTATTATCATTATTATTATTATTATTATTATTATTATTATTTAGCGTCGGTTAAAAAAATTTTTTTTCTCACACGAATAAAATAAAAATAAATTTTTTGTTTTTGTTTTCGTCGTTAACTTTTGTGATATAATAATATTATATTAAAAAAATTTTTTTAAATTGAAAGTAGTAATGTCTGATGTAAATATAAAAAAAATTCTGCAGTTATGCAAATGTCAAAGTGAATGAATGAATGATTGGTTGAATGAATGAATGATTGGTTGAATGAATGAATGATTGGTTGAATGAATGATTGATTGATTGGTTGAGTGAATGAATGATTGATTGATTGGTTGAGTGAATGAATGGTTGATTGGTTGAATGATTGATTGATTGGTTGAATGAATGAATGAATGATTGGTTGGTTGGATGAATGAATGATTGGTTTGTTGAATGAATGAATGATTGATTGGTTGAATGAATGATAGAATGAATGTTTAAAAAAATTGATTTATTATTAATATTAATATTATTATTATTATTATTATTATTATTATTATTATTATTTTACACTTTATGTTTTTTTTTTTTTTTTTTTTTTTTTTTTTTTTTTGTAATTGCGGTATTGCAGAGTAGTAGTGTGATAATCGAAAATTAAATTTACAAGGTAGTAGTAGGAGGCGTGGTTTTGAAATCATTTTTCTGGTACCTTAAATTATCATTATGATGATTTTAAATTTTCCGCGGTCTCCTTTAATTAATTTTAATTTCTCACCCTTTGAAATTTTCTCATTTAACAAAAAAAATTTTCCCATGTAAAACATAACAGAACTTTTTTTTTTTTTTGAATAGTTCCACGTCGTGTGTGAATATTATTATTATTTTTTGCTTCGGTTAAGAATTATTCCGGATGTTCCGCAAATTGATAAGAATGAGTTTGGTATGAATGGATCCGGGAAACCTTGAGAAAATTTTTTTTTTTGTTACGTTTAACCCCCTGCGAACGGTTTAATTATTGAGAATGATGTAAATTTTTTTTTTTATAGGCCTTTGCTATCAAGATGCAGTCCACATTACAGCAATTCTTGGAGAATCCGTTGTGTTCAATTGTCATGTCGAATTTCCGGGGGACCATCCTGTGCCCTATGTTCTTCAATGGGAGAAGAAGGTAGGGGAAACGGTAGGGTCACACTCTGTTCTTTTGCTTGCACATTCCCCCCCCCCCTTCTCCCTCTAGATATTATAGCCATTATATTATTTTTATATTTTTGTTGCGTGCTTGGTTTTTTTTTTTTTTTTAAAATGAAACAAAAAAAAATTTTTTTTTTAAATAAATGAATGGGGGGTTAAAGTCATTTTCATTAAACTGTAAACTAAATGCATAATACAACTCGGGGGGCGTGGGGAGAGAGGCGGGGAGGAGAGGGAAGGGAGGAGTTAAATACTATTATTTACGCTTTCGATCTAAAATGCAATTTGCTTTTTTTTTTTCTCTCTCTCTCTTTTTCAAATTTAAACCCTCCCCTCCCCCCAAAATTAAATGAATGAATAATTGACGTTTGAAATTATTGTTACGGAAACTGCAAATGAACTCTTTTTTTTTTGTTTTTTTGTTTGTTTGTTTGTTTGTTTGTTTTGATAAAATTCAATTTTTTGTAACTTAAATTGATAGGGACTTAATAATAATAATAATCGGGAATTAAAAATAATGAAAAAACCCACAAAGTTTTTTTAGGAAAATTTTATTTCGAGTTACTACCGGGAAAGCGTTAAATATTATTATTATTAATAATATTATGAGGAGACCAAGCACAAAACATAATTAAATCCTGTTGTTGGTTGTTTTCCTTTTTTTTTGTTTTGCTCGAATGCTTTTGTGTTATTGTTTCATTTTTGTGTTTGTTTATTTTTATTTTTATTTTTTTAATACGTAGACTGTTTTTTGAACTTTCACCTCCCCTCCCTTTCCACCTCCTCTCTCCCTTCCTCCCACTAGTTAATGAATGAAAGAACAGAGAGTTACCCTTTTTATTTTTTTATTTTTTTATTTTTATTTTTTTCAATTACTTAAAGAAAAATTTTCCAAGTCCGAATGAACGAATGACGAGTGAGAAAAATTTTTAATTTCCCACGCAAACATTTTTTTTTTTTTTCCGTTTGTCGTTTGTTGTTTGTCTTGTTTGTTTGTTTTTTTTTTCTTTATTAAATTATTATAATTTTTACACTTTTGATCGTCTGCTTTTTTTTTTTTACGAATGAAAAATTGTTGTTTTTCGAATTCGATTCGAATTTTTAACTGTAAAGTGAAGTGTGTGTACAAACCGTAAAGTACAACGCGACGCTTAATAATAATAATAATAATAATAATAATAATAATAATAATAATAATAATAATAATAATAATAATAATTACACGAAACTAAAACGCATTAGTTAGAGTATGTAAGTAAAACTCCAGTAAGTATGTATTAGAGTATGTAAGTAAGTACTCCAAAAAAAAATTAGCGAATAATAATAATAATAATAATAATAAAAGGTAATAATTTTAATTGGTGTTACAAAGTCATAAAAGATTTATAAAGACTTTAAAGGTTTTAATTTTGTAAAGTTTATCATGTTAAAAGCTAATCTTATTAGTTAGTCTTTAAATAAGTCACCTCGAAAAACTTTTTTTTTTTAACTTTGATAATTTAAATATTTTATTATTATTATTATTATTATTATTATTATTAATTTGACAAAATAATAATAGTAATAATTATAATAATAATAATAATCATTATCATTATCATTTAATTATCGCGTTGTTATTATTATTATTATTATTATTTCCTCGCTAAAATACCGTAGTATAAAAAACAAAATGGGCAAACTTTAATTTCTTTTTTTTTTTTTTTTTATTCGCTTTTCGTCTTTTCCGTTATTATTATTATTATTAATCACTTTATCGATATTAAATTATTAATTAATTATTATCATTATTATTATTATTATTGTTATTTAAATAAATAAATAAGAAATAACGAGGATAGAAATTAATCAATCGAATATCGTTTAGTTGCTCTTTTTTTTGTCGCAACTAGTAATTAACGAATTATTATTATTATTATTATTATTATTATTATTATTATTATTATTATTATTATTATTATTATTATTATTATTATTATTATTATTATTATTTTGTCATATAAATAAATTAAATTTATAATTTTTAGCAGACGAAAATTGAAGAGAAAAAAAAAAATGTGTGCGATCACGGTTAAATAAAATGATGATTAAAATTAATTTTTTGTATTTTGTTCACTTTAACTTTGTTTTTTTGTATTTTATTGCACGAAAATATGTTTCTGCTATTTTGTTATTTATTTATTTTTTTTGGGGGGGGGAGGGAGGTGAGGGTTTATTAAGAAAAATTTGGTTACACTCGATTTTGTTTTTATTTTTTCTTGCTTATCATATCATCCATCATATGGACGGTTTAAATACCGGCGTGTGAATAATAAAGCAGGTAAATTTTTTTAATTAATTAATTAATTTATTTGTTTTCTCTCTCTCTCTCGCATGTTTATATGTGTGTGTCTCTTTTTAAAACATTGTGATAACGTTGTAGTTAGTGATAAGAATTGAGAGTTGTAGAAGTAGTAGAATTAGTAGTAATGTAACAACCTCATGAATTTCGTTATTTATTTATTTATTTTTTTTTTACGAACTTTAATTAAATTTATTTATTTTTTTATCACTCCCCCCCCCCCCGCACACGCCCCTTTTCGAAGAATGCACCTGTACACGTAGTATAATTTTATGTTTTATTTCTTTTCCCTATTTATATATTTTAACGTTTTTTTTTATTTTATTTTATTTTTATTATTTTTATTCGCGGTTTTTAGCAGTAAATAAATAAATAAATAAATAAATAAAGTTTCGAGGTGTGAAACATTCGAATAAAACAAACTCGAATACGCACGCACACACGCACATTTTTTTTTTTTTTTCCAAGAAGTTTTTATTACGCCATTTATTTATTTATTTTTATATATATATAACCCATCCGAAAAATATATGTTTACAAGTCAAGCAAGGACGGTGTCAATAATAATAATAAAGGAAATTGTTAAAATGACATGGCTTTGATTGTTTCCTGGGAAAGGAAGGGAGGTCGGGGTGGGAACGAATTCATTTGTTTAATTTTTTTTTATAAAATGAATTTTTAAGAAGGAATCAAAAAAAAAATGTATTGTTATGTTGTTGCGTGGGTGTGTGCAAAAAAAAAAAAAAAACACATGCAAAAAGAAAATTAAAAGCTTTTTGGCATTAACGAAGGGATTTTTAAATTGTTGGTAATTTTAAACTAAAATATAAATAAGTTGTAATGCCTCCTGTCATTTGTCATTTAGTGACAGAAATGAATTTGCAATTTTTTTCATTTATTTATTTATTATTATTATTATTGTTTGTTTGTTTGTTTGTTTCACGTTTTTCCGGTATCGTATTTAAAACTTGTTTGTTTTTTTCGTTTTGATTTAATTTATTTAAGTGTTTTTAACGTATTGTTTAAATAAAATGTCGTTGGCATGTTAATATAAATTAGAGGACGATAAAAAAAATTATTAAATGAATAAAAATAAAATAATGATAATTAAATTTTAACAGGGAGTGGGAATACCCATATACATATGGTACGACAGTTATCCCACCCACAGTGGAGAGGGTTATGAAGGCCGAGTGTCGAGAGTCAGTCCTGACTCACCCTACGGGCTCGCTTCGCTCAATCTCACAGATATTCGTGAGTCCGATCAGGGATGGTACGAGTGTAAGGTGGTCTTCCTCAACAGATCACCCAACTCGCATAAAAATGGAACGTGGTTCCACTTGGACGTTCATGGTGAGTTCATAATAAATTATCATTTAATGTTTTTTTTTTTTTATAACAACCCTCGTTAATGTGATTCACATTCTTTGTTAGGTTAAAAGAAAAAAAAAAAAAAATTTTTTTTTTCACAGGTTTTTTTAAAACTTTTGAAAATTTTGATTGCGTGGGTTGCGTGTCTGCCTGTGTTTACAAATACAACCGTTGAATTTTGTTTCTTGTTTTCCTGGGTGGTTAATGGTTAAATAAATTCCTCTCTCTCTCTCTCTTTTTTTTTCTATACAAAAAAAAAATGTTTTCAAAATAATCCTGTGTCACTTTAACACGGAAAAAAATTTTTTTTTTTTAGCTCCGCCACGCTTCAGTGTTACTCCAGAGGACATAATATATGTAAACCTGGGAGATGCTATAATTCTAAATTGCCAAGCAGAGGGGACGCCTACGCCAGAAATACTTTGGTATAAAGATGCTAATCCCGTCGAGCCTTCGGCAACAATAGGTAATTTTACAAGTTTACGTTATCGAATTTTTTATTAATAGAAAATGGTTAAGACACGACGAATTCGTCGTTATTGATAATTGTTATAAATGATGCATAAAAAAAAAAAAATTAATACACGTGATAATTTATTAGGTATATTTAATGAAGGAACTGAACTCAGGATATCAAGTATTAGACATGAAGATATAGGAGATTATACTTGTATAGCAAGAAACGGGGAAGGACAAATTAGTCATACTGCTAGAGTTATTATAGCAGGTACTACTTTACTCAAAATTTTTTTTAGGAATTAAATTTCAATTTTACTTATTTATTAAAAAAAAAAAAACCCTTAATAAATATTTTTAGGTGGAGCTGTTATAATGGTACCTCCAACAAACCAAACCAAATTGGAGGGTGAAAAAGTTCAATTCACTTGTGAGGCTAAAGCTCTGCCTGGTAATGTCACGGTGAAATGGCTTCGAGAAGGAGTGCCAATATTGGAAGTTGCTTCTCTTGAGACACGAGTAACCACGAGAAGAGATGGATCGTTAATTGTCAACCCCGTGAATGCCGATGATTCGGGATTGTACACTTGCGAGGTTACTAACGGAATCGGTGAACCTCAAAGTGCTTCTGCTTATTTAAACGTAGAATGTTAGTTGAAAAACTTTTTTTTTTTTGGTTTTTAACGTTGAATTGAATGTTACATTTAAAAAAAAAAATTACAGTTCCTGCCAAGGTTACATTCACCCCAACCGTACAATATCTTCCATTCCGTTTGGCTGGTGTAGTTCAATGTTTTATTAAAGCAAATCCTCCTCATCAGTATGTGACGTGGACCAAAGATAAACGACTATTGGAACCTTATCAAACCAAAGATATCGTTATTATGAATAATGGATCTCTTCTTTTTACGAGGGTGAGTACTTTTACTTAATTAAAAAAATTTTATTTCGTCATTAATAGAAATTGCCTCGAAAAAAAAAATTTATTTATTTTTTTTTTTTTTTAGGTAAATCAAAATCATCAAGGACGTTATACTTGTACCCCTTATAATGCTCAAGGAACGCAGGGTTCTTCAGGTCCCATGGAAGTTTTAGTGCGTAAACCTCCTGTTTTCGTCGTGGAGCCAGAAAGTCTGTATCAAAAAAAAGTAGGAGAAACTGTTGAGATGCACTGCGAAGTACAAGAAGCCGAAGGAACTCAAAAACCAACCGTACAATGGCAAAGAGTAAATAAAATGTTTTTTTTTTTTTTCTTAAAAAATTTTTTTTTGCAGTTTTATTATTATTATTTTTTTTTTTCCCCTCTCTAGAGAGACGGTGCTCCGTTACAAAAAAATAGAATAAGAATTAGCGGTGGTAACATTACCATAGAATCATTAAGAAGGTCTGATTTTGGATTTTATCAATGTGTTGCCAGTAACGAAGTAGCTACCATAGTCGCAGCCACTCAGTTAGTTGTAGAAGGAACTCAACCTCACGCACCATATAACGTTTCCGGAAATGCTAGTGAATTTGCCGTTACGCTTTCGTGGTTACCAGGATACAGTGGCGGACCTGATTACAAACAGGACTATACCATATGGTATGTATATAAATTTCCCAGTAATGCTTTTAATCGAAATTATGGATTGTCAAAAAAAAAATGAATTTATTACAGGTATCGAGAAGTAGGGGCTTCAGAGTGGTCAACCATTCCGGTCACGCCATCTGGAAGTACTCAAGTGACTATAAACAGATTAACGCCGAGTACTTCATACGAATTTCAAGTAATTGGTAAAAATGCATTAGGAGATGGAATGCTTAGTAAAGTTATCACCGTAAGAACTCAAGGTATGTAATTTTTTTTACCGGCCCCCCACTTAATAATTTTTAACATTTATCTCTCGTATATGTGTAATTAATATTACAAAAATTTAAAATTGCTGCCTTTCTGGAAAAGATGTTGGAATAACTCGTACCGTATCGAATCCGGTTGTATCAGAAAAAGATTTTATACCAGCCCCTGAAGATTCTGGTAAGAGATGAGAAAAACAAAAAAAATTTTTGTCGTCTGCTCACGAATGATCCCTTTTTATTTATTTATTTATTTATTTTTATTTTTATTTTATTTTTTTTTTTATTTGTTTAAATAATTTATTTTTTTATTTTTATTTTTGCATGACGTTTTTTCAGACATTGTAGGCCCTCTTTTAACTTTTCCGACTGATTCAACAGGAGCAACCTTAATTCCTCCCATACTTAAACCCAAAGGTATATTTTTGTCTTTTGCATGGTTTTTATTATTATTATTATTATTTTAATTCCTTAATATTCAATTTATTGATGATTTGTCATCAAAATAAAAAAATACTAAAAAAAAAAAAAAAAAAATCGGTTTGTAATTAATTTGTACGTGTGCGTTTTTGTAATTTTCAGGTCCCAGACCCGGACCCCCTAAAAATTTAACCGTGACCGAAATTAATAATGGCTTCCTTATATCGTGGGAACAACCTAACGAAAGAGCTAATCTTGTACTTCATTATACAATTAAATACAGGACGGATGCTCAATGGAAAACTCTTAATAAGGGAACAATAAGACCGGAGGAAACCCAATATCTCGGTAATATATATCCTATTCAAATTTACATTTATTACAATCGTTCGACTAATGATGAGTAACGGTTTCCAATTAACATCCAATATATTAATTAACGCCATTAGTTTAAAATGATAATAATGATGATTGATTTTTTTTTTTCCTTGTTGTTTTACAGTTAAAAATTTGGTGGGTGGAAGAACATATTATTTTCGCGTCCTCGCCAATTCTCGTACTAGTTACGAAAGTTCAGAAGAAGTTAAATTTCCCGTTCCTGCAAGAGTTAAACATAAAGCAATCAAAGCCGGTGTTGTCGGAGGTTTTTTATTTTTCATCGTAGCCATTATTTTATCCGTTTGCGCCGTCAAAATATGTAACAAAAGAAAAAGGAGACGACAGGAAAAGGGTAAGTTTTTATTATTATTATTACTTTTTTTATATATATGCGGGCATTTCGACACGTGCACACACGCAACAAACACACACGTGTAAATATATAAAAAAAAAAAAATTATTATTTGAAAATTTAAAGAAGAAGAAAATGAAAAGAAAAACTTAAAATTAGTTTCTTGATAAATCTATGCACTTTTGGTAGTTTTTTTTTTTTCTTTTTTTTTCTTTTTTTTTTTTTTTTTTTTGGTGTAAGAAAATTTATTGGGTTGGTAATTAAAAAAAGTAAGTTTTCCAGTAGTTTTTGTCCAGTGGATAAAGATGTGTGGGGCCTCGGGGTGAAAAACAATTTTTCCTTTTCTATTGGCTAGCTCCGGTGGTTAATTAGCCCAATGTAAACCTCTGAATTTATGGTCTGATTTCGTGGCAGCAGTAGGTCAAAGTAGGCTATACCTTTGTAATCCCACCAAACTGATAACAGTACCTTTTTTTGGTGCCTGTTTCCCAGACCAGGATCTTTTCCTTTAAATGTCGTCATAGACAACCCACTTTTCATCTCCGGTGACCATTCTTTCAAAAATGGGTCATTCGCATTGAACTCGTTAACTCACAATCCCCCAAAGTTATGCATCAAACTTCTTTTGGTACCCGACGCACATATGTGACACATATACCTTCTTGACAATGTCCCTTGTCGAATTATGCCGATCATTAACAATTATAGCCTTTATTTGGTTATCATCGACTTCCAGTGGACCCCCATAGCGCTCCTTATTTTTCAAAGGAAAATCTCCAGAACGGAATTTTGCAAACCAGTTTTGACACGACCGTTCTATTAAGGCTTCATCACCCTACACGGCCTACAACTTTTTATTGGTTTGTGAAGCATTGCCACCTTTTCAAAAATAAAAAAGTAAAATGTGGAGAAAATTCTCGCTTTGGCTCCCCAGCATGTTTAAGCGTCTTCTGCTCGCGCACTATTTAAGATCTCAATGAAATTTTGGTACTGAATGTACTCAAACGTACTCAAAAACATGTTCAAATTATCTGTCGGTGGAAAATCCGTAATTACTTACTTGCCAACCCAATAATTATGCTTTATTTTCATTTTTTTTTGTGTTGGTGGTGGTGGTGGATATTATTAATTCTTTATTTATTTATTAATTTATTTATTTAAATAAAATTGTACATACATATTAAATGTATTTTAATAATATTAAATTTATTTATTAGTACTTGAATTATATATATATATATATATTTTTAACGTAAATTTTGTACGCTTTAAATGTTTTTTTTTTTTAACGCTAATTTTGGGGTTTAAAAAGACATAAATAAAAATTTATTATTATTGTTATTGTTATAAGTTTAAAAATTTGGAAAAACAATTTTTTTGGTTTTTTTTCTATACGCAGAATGGGGCGCCATGTTCGATGCGCAAGAGTTGCGTAAGAATGCTATGAACAAATAATCGGATGGCCATACAGGCACGTACCTTTCAACGGTAGCATTGCCTTTTCATAATTAGTTACAAAAAAAAAAAAAAAAAAAAAAAATTTTCTAATTAAAATTTTCAAGCTTTTATTATAATTATTATTATTATTTATTTATTTTTTGTTATTAGAAAAAAAAGCATTTTTAACCCGCCATTCACACACACACAAACACACACTTATCATCATTATTACTATTTTCTCCTCCTCCTCCTCCCCCTCTTCCTTTTTTTGTTGATGATGATGATGTTATTGTTTATGATAAAAACAATAATAATAATAATGATAATAATGCTTGAAAGTTTTAAATAGTTGATTTAATAAAAGGATTTTTTTTTTACCAACCATTCCATTTGTTATTTGCTGTCTGTTAATTAGCGCAAAAAAAAAAAAAAAAAATCATTTTGTCATTTTCTCTCTCTCTCTCTCTCTCACTCTTTTTATATGTGCATGAATTTTCATTTATGTTTCTTTTTTTTTTAATAATTATATGCAATAATAATAATAATAAGGTTTATAAAAAGCTTTTTTTAATTTTTTTTTTTTCAATAATATTTTTTACAGGTAGTTTTTAATTAAATAGCATGTTTCATGAATCGCCGCGCGAAAAATTTTGTTAGTTAATAATAATAATAATATTTTATATAATAATCATCGCTTATAGAAATAATAATAATAATAATAATAATAATAATAAACGTATAAAATAGTTTTTTTTTATTGGAGGAAAAAGAAAACAGTGGAAAATTATTATTATTTTTTTTTTTTTTTTTTTTAGAAATTTTAGAAAATTTTCAAATTATTATTATTTTTTTTTCGATTTATGATAAATAGTTGTTAATAATGATAATGATAATGATAATGATAATATTGATAATAACGGTTGTTATCCGTTCTAGTTGGTTTTAATGAAAAATTTTTTTAATTATCATTAAAAAGTTAATGAGAAAAATTTTTTGTAAAATTAATAATTGATAATAATTATTATTATTATTTGTTTCAGCATACAACATGGTTGCTTGTCGCATTACAGATGGTAGAAATGGTGGACAATTATCCGGGGCAACGCAAGTGCCTTTGAAAAAGTAAGTACCTAACCTGATAAATAAAAATCGAATTTTAAAAACCATAAAAAAAAAAAAAAAAAATTTATGCAGGAAAAACCAAAACGAGGCGATATTTATTATCATTATTATTATTACCTATAATTTCGATTTGAAAATTTCTATTGATTGATAATCGATCGTATTGATTGATTTTAAACGCCAATCGACGCCTCTTACCATACATAAATATATGAAAATCTGAGTTGCAGCAGCAGCAGCAAAACCGTTTTTTTACAATTCTCACATATTCATAATTTAAATACAAATCGTTATTTATTTAATATCGTTTATTTTATTTTATGTTGAGATAGAGAGGTTTGAAAAAAAAAAAATTTACTCGAAATTCTTTTGTTGTTACTGTTTTGTTTTGTTTTATTATCATTATTATTATCATATTTGATTTTGTATTTGAAATGATAATTAATAATAATAAAAAAAACGTGTAAATAAATAATAAAAAAAAAAGAGAGGTAAGAGAAAAATGGTTTTGTTGCCTTAGGATATATGCTGAATCACTAACCTATCGAGATTTAAGTCTACAACTCGACTGCCAGTGATAAGAGAGCGGTGTGTGTCTTATCAACACTGCATTTCTTCAGAGCGCTCAGTAAGCGTCACACTTTCTCTCACTATCTATCTATATTTCACTTAATTAACACCACTAATAATAATTTCTTTTTTTTTTTTTGTGGATGGATGGATGGATGGGGGGAGGAAGTGTTGTAAATTTGAGCTTTTAAATTTTAACACATGATTTCTATATGCAATTAACGTAGCTTTAATTATTATTATTATTATTATATTAAAATGATTTAAAGGGATTGACATATTTAAAAAAAAAAAACTAACACATTACATTATTAATTTATTTATTTAGTTTTAATGGTAAACGGTTTTATTATAATTCGTTCATTCGGCGGGGAAGGGGAAAGGGAAGGGGGGAATAGGGTTGGGAGTAAGAATAATAATAATATTATTGCTAGGAAGTTGACGTTTTATTTTTTATTGTTAAGCACTCGGTTTTCGGAATAAATAAAAAAAAGTGTTTTTGATTTATATATATATATATATATTTGTAAAGGGCAACAGTGGCAGTAACAATGGTAGGAACAGTGGCAGCAGAAGCACATTAGCACAAAAGCATTAAGTAGTTGTTAAAAAAAAAAAAAAATTATTTATTTAATTTTTATTATATATATGACACAAACACACACAAACACAAACACGCATATTTTTGATGCAAATTTTTTATATTTATATATAATTAATTAACGAGAGAAAGCAGCAGACGATGCATACGAAATTCTATTTATTTAATTTAATTTAATTTTTTCGTAAAAATTTAAGTAAATTTTATCTAATGTTGATTTTTTTTTTTTTTTTTAAATTCTGTTGTTAATGCTGGCCATGAAGAAGGATTAAAGGTAATTTATTTTTAATTTTTAATTTTTTTTTTTTTTTTTTTTTTTTTTTTGGTTTTTATCAATAGGAAAAACAAGAAAGAAATCGAAAGGTTTTCTATATCCAGTTCCAGTTAAAAAAAAGTTCGTGTAATTAGACAAAGTTCTAAAAAACGTGTAAGGATTTTAATTTAAAAAAAAAAAATTGAAATGATAATGACACGAAATGACCTCTTAAAATTTATTATCACGCTTATCATAAAATATTTCTGTTATAGCTTTTTTGGGCTTTAAAACAATTGACTTTGTGCAAAAGGGGGCGGGAGAGGGGGCGGCAGCAAAAAAAAAAAGGGGGGAGGAGCTTTGAATTAATTATGCTTGGTGGTGTATACACGCGTATCCGGATGGATAAAAAATAAAATAAAATAATTTTTTTCCATGTTTTTTTTTAGCCGACATAATGAAGGCGGAATATCAGGTGTGATGAACGTGTTAAAAATCATTTCCCATTGGTTGCCTGGTAGAGGTAGCAGAGTTCAAGGAGACGGACAAGATGGGCCGGAGGGTTACGAAGAATCGAAACATTTGGGAAGCATAAGTAGATCCGCGGATGGGAGATTCGTTGTGGATACAACAGCTAGGAATAGCATAGCAAGTGGATCGAGCAGTAGCGACGACGGTGGATTTTTAACTCGTCAAACCGGACTTCGCGTGAGAGCTTTCGACCGAGCATCGTGGCGAAGACCTTTGGTCGCATATCCGAGCGAATTGAGTTTGAGATCGGACGGTACGGGACAGAGTAATTTTGGAGAGCATAATATTTTAAGGTATTTAAGAGAGAAATCACCGAGTCCGTTTTTTAAAGTACCTGCTTCACCGCTAACCACACCCACATCAAGTGTTCTTGCGTACGGTCGAAGAAAAGGTTATGCTTATTCTTCGGCATCTAGCGCGACTAGACGTTTTCCTCCAAAATCACCTAGTCAGGCCTCTCAGTCACCGTATTTTCAAAGACTGCCGCAAATACCAGTTATTTATTCAAATAGAAATCATCATCCGGTAAATTATGGCGTCATATTTTCACCTTCGTTAATAAAATCACCGACGACGGCGACACTTCCGAGAATAATTTCAAGCTCACCGACAAATTCGCAAAATATAACGCCGGCGTGGTCTCCATCTTATAATTTTTCCGATTTGAGTTCGGTACCGGTGCCCAGTTCGGGTGATAGATCATTTCCCAGTTCCATATCACAAAATCGACCCAATTATATTCAGTTGAGAAATGTCCACGAGAGGTACGCTCAAGAATTACCCTCTCTTCGGGCCATTCACGAAGAAACATCGAGGCTTCCTCAAGAGGCTGCTTTTTTTCTTCCCGTACAACCCTCACCGCCGAGAATTCGTATTCCCTCCGGTTGGAATGATTACAGATCGAAATCAAGACTACCTCCTCGTAACGCTCGTCAGGCACTCAGTGCACCCGAACTTACTCGTGCTCACGACGATCCCGTGACATCGACGGGATTACTAATGGAAACATCACCGGAAAGTAGATCGAGTTCGAGCGGTTTCGGTAGCAAAAACACATTTTCCCAACAGAATCAAAGTTCCCAAAGCGGCGGGAGTGCGAACGAATGGAGAATTCCTCACTACAGGGGAAATTCAGGTACGATTCCCGCGACTCACGCTCCCCAACAATCACGAGTACAAATCCCATCATCACATCAATACATTTCAAACTTTTCACCGCATTTATCATCCGAACTACAAATGCCATATTTAATAAAAGACTGGTTTGACATAACGGCCGATATTCAGGAAACGTCACCCGCTAGCGACCTGACAAAGGTCGACGCATCCGTTGACGGTCACTACGAATTCGATGCGGCTTTTCCCGCTTCTCCTACTCCACCGATATCAGTTCCTATATCTTATCCGAGGTCTACCTTTTCGACGGATGATGTGATACAATATCCGACCACCCTTTATCCTCCCGTCAACACTCCAGGCGCTTTAAGACCCAAAAGGACTAGCAAATACGATAACATCGAAGCTCGCGTTCAGGCAATGAAAGAAGAATACTACGCGTTCAGAAGAAGACAAGAAAAAAGAAAATTCAGTGAAAAATTAGAAAGTGTTTGCTGAAAATCCATTTTTCGAATCAAAACTACCTGATTATACATACGTATATAAAGAAACAAAAAAAAAAAAAAAAAAAAAATTGCCATGACGTCATCATACTGGGGTAAAAAAAAAGTCTTACAAAAAAAAATTCACCCCCGCTCCCCACCATCTTCCCTCACCCACTTTCGTTCGTTAACTTTAAAATAATAATACTAATAATAATTCATTAATAATTAATTCTAAACATTAAAAAAAAAAATAAAATAAATAATAGAATCGGTTGCTAAAAAAAAAAATTTAATAATGATAATAATAATAATAATTTTAATAATAATAATAATAATAATAATAATAATAATAATAATGATAATGATGATAAAATATATGAATATTTTTTACTTAGAATTATTATAATTAATTAAAAGACAAAAAACAAAAATAAAAAAGTTGTAGAGGAAAGCGTTGACTCCGTTAATGATAATAATAATAATAATAATATTAATAATAATTAAAGTAATAATAATGATAATGATAATGATAATTTTTTTTTTCATGTGAAATTTTTTTTGTAATGCTTTTTTTTACCCTTAAAAAAAAAAAAAAAAAATGGCAATTTTAAAATTGTATAATGATCTCAAGTGAAAAGGTGTTTAAAAAAAAAAAAAAAAAACTGGAAAACAGGTAAATCTGAAATGCGGCGGCATCGTAAAAAAAAAGGAAAAAAAGGAAAAAAGGAAAGAAAAAGGAAAAAAAGGAAAAACAAAAAAAATTAAAAAAAAACTAATGATTAGTTCCTCTGTTAGATTTTTATATTAACGAAAATAAGAAGAAGAAGAAAAAAAAATATATATATATATATATATACATAAACTATAAATATATATAATATAGCGAGCGATAATAATAATAATAATGATAATGATAATAATATTATTATTATTATTATCGATAAAGAGTTTTTAAATGCTAATAATAATAATAATAATAATATTATAATATAATAAAGAGAATAAAATTTAAAAAAAATTTTTTTTCTTTTTTTTTTCTTTTTTTTTTTTTTTAATATCGTAAAAAAAAAATTAAATTAATGATTAATAAATTAAATGAATGATGATAATGATAATGATGATGATAATAATAATAATCATTATTATTAATTAATTAATTAATTACAAATTAATTTAAAAGTTTAAAAGAAAAAAAAATAAAATAAAGTAAAAAGAATTCTAAATATTTAAGTCAATTTGTTTTTTGTACAAAAAAAAATTAAAAAAATGATTAAAAAAAAATGATAAAAAAAAAATTAAAAATAAAAACTTTTACGTAAAAAGCCCAAAAAAAAAAATAAATAAACATATAATTAAAATAAAATAAAATAAAATAAATAAATAAATAAATATTATTAATAATAATAAAATAAATAAAAAATAAAAAAAAAAATAAACATTCTCATATTGTGTACTTAATGGTTAAACAAAATAAAAATAAAAAAAGAAAAATTTATTATTATTATTATTATTATTATTATTTTTCTATAATATGTATTTATTTATTTATTAATTTATTAATTAATTTATTTATTGTTAATGTTTTAGTATTATTATTATTATTATTTTTTGTTCGACGCCTTTTCGAATCATTGACGACACGGTTGTTTGTACGTATATATAAAAACTATTTATAAATGACGTTATGCGTAAACCCAGTGAAAATTATTATTATTATTATTATTATTATTATTATTAATATTATTTTAAAGGGTATATGTAATAATAATAATAATAAAAACTATTAAAATATACTCAAATCCGAATCAAAAGTTCCTTTTTCTTTTATTTGTGTGTTTGTTTGTTATTATTTATGTTATTCATTATTATTATCATTATTAGTATTATTATTAGTATTATTTGCAACTGTGACATTCCAAAAGAATTTATTTTATTACTATTATCATTATTATTTATTTATTTATTTTGGAAAACTATTTTGGTTGTGCTACGAATTCCTTTTTTTTTTATTTTTTATTTAATCTCAAGCTTTATAAATTATTTATTTTTATTAAAATTACTCCCGTGCAATCGACGATACATATTATGTATATTCTCTCTCTCTCGCACACACTCTCTCCCTATTATTATTATTATTACATAATTATTTATTTTTAAGCTCTCTAATAAGAAATAAGAAAAAAAGATCGACGACGCTCTCGCGTGTGTACGAACGCAACAATTCCTTTCGAAAAAAAAAAAATTAATAATAATAATAATAATAGTAAGAGTTAATTAAAAAAAAAAGTGCACATTGTGGGGGAGGAATGTGTGCGCGTGAAATGAAATCATTTATTTATTTATAACAATTAAATTTATTTATTAAAAAAAAATGTTTTATTTGAAAAGGCGTCGTCGTCGTCGTGACGTACTATTTATTTATCGTTTAATAAATATAGTTTAATTCAATCATTATTATTATTATTATTATTATTAATTAATTAATTATTAAAATTGTTTATTATTATTATTATTATTGTAAAATTATATGAAACAAGAACAAGAACAACTTAAATTACTCTTATTATAGCAGGGATTATTATATACTCGTTGCAATTTTTTTTTTTTATTTAAATTTTTTATTTATTAATTAATTTATTTAAAATTTTTATATTATTAATTATTGTTATTAATTTTTAAGTCGTACGAAAGTAATTATTCTCTTTATCCCCCTTACCTTTCCCCCTCCCCTCTCTCCTCCTGCTCTCTCTCTCTCTCTTTCTACTTTTATCTTTTCCTGTTCTAAAAAATATTATACACGTATGTACTTATACATTATTATTATTATTATTATTATTATTATTATTATTATTATTATTTCAATTTGATTTAATTAACGTCCGTCGAAATCAAAATAAATTATATTAAATACAAGGGAAAATAATAATAATAATATGAAGAAAATGATAAAAAAATTAATAATAATAATAATAATAACGATGATGATGGTGACCGGATAAATAAATAAATAAATAAATAATAATAATAATGATAAATCGAAAAAGAATTGCCACCATTTTGTTTTTTTTTTTTTTTTTTCGTGTAATAATCCGGTTGTTTACGTCGTCTGTGGTTGTTGTTTCTAACAAACGTAAACAAAAACAAACAAATTTATTTATTTATTTATTTTATGATTTTTTTAATAATAATAATTTCGTTACACGGGTGCGTTAATTAATAATAATAATAATAATAAGTCGAATGAAAAAAGAAAAAATTGTGATTAACTTTATTTATTTATTTATTTAAATTTTTTGTTTAATTTCGATTAATTTCGAGTCCTTCTATTATTAAATTAATAAATAATAATAATAATAATAATGATAAATTTAAAATAAATAAATAAATAAATAAAGCTCTATAGTCCGTTTATATTCTTCATTAAACTTATTTATTATTATTAATAATAAGTAAAAAAAAAAAAAATTATATATATATATACAAATTTAAAATATTTAAGAAAAAAAAAATTAATAATTACTACTACTACTACTACTACTAATAATAATAATAATAATTAAAATAAATTATTGATGACGCAGAAAGAAAAAGTTAATAATAATAATAATAATAATGATAAAATTCGATTCGAAAAAAAAAAAAAAAGTAGAAATTTTTTTATTATATAGTGTGGCAAAGGAACAATTTAAATAAAAAAAAAAATTTATATAAATTTAAAATAATAATAATATTTAGGCAGTTATTATTTATTTATTTTATTTATTAATAAATATTTAAATAATTGATTTTTATCATTATTATTATTATTATTATTATTATTATTTCTTCTGCTACTATTATTAATTATTATTTAAATAAGTGATATTAATCGAGTTCGCGAGCGCAATATAAAATCATCGTTTTTTTTTTTCTACTCGTTTGTACGACCTGAACGATAACAAACAACAAACAAACGACAAACGATTTTTTTTTATTTGATAAATTTAATTGACGTCACGATCGTGACGTAATCGTAACGTGATTGGATCGATTGCAAGTAAAAAAAATTTTTTTAATGCTCAATTCGGGTCGTAACCTTTTCATTTATTTATTATTATTATTATTTAACATTTATTTAATTTAAATTACGCACGAGCAACGCACAATTACGCACACACACACAAAAAAAAAAACGGTTGTCGGTTGTCGTTTGTTGGGAAAGCACTGATATTATTACATTAACGCGGTGTTGTTGTATATCGTTTATCATCATCATCATTATCGTAATCATCATTTTCATCATCATTATTATCATCATCATAATCCATATTATTATTATTATTATTATTGTTTTGATTTATTTATTTATTATTATTATTATTTTTTTTTTAATAAAACTTAAACATTGCGAACGATATAAAATTTATTAATTAATTAATAAAATTAATTATTAACGATTGTAAATATATATATTTATAATAAATAAATAAATAAATAATGTGTATAATATATATATTTGTCACAAAATAATAATAATAATAATAATAATAATAATAATTGATATTGAAGGATATAATATTATAAATATGAAAAAATAATTAATTTAATTATTGGATTTTAAAATCGAAAAAAAAAAATAAAAATAAAAAAAAATGTTAAATTTTATTATTATTATTATTATTATTATTAGTTTTTAAGTAATTATTTAATATGTGTACATATATATAATAATATTTATTAATAATAATAATAATAGATTTTTTCCCCTTCCCCTTTTCCCCTCTTCTTTTTATTATTATTATTATTATTATTAAACGTGATTCTTTTAATTTATTTCTAACACGTGACAAATTTGTTTGTTTTATTATTATTATTATTATTTGATTATTATTATTATTATTATTAGATGAGATTTAATTAAAAGAGTCACGTCAAGTTTCCAGTGCAATTTGTATTATTATTATTATTATTACTATATTTTGATTTTTGTTAATTGATTATTGATTGATTGATTTTGTTTAAAGTACAAATGTTTAATTTTTTTTTTTAATTCCATGATTTATTATTATTATTATTATTATAATTATTGTAATTATATTATCCATGATTATTATTATTATTATTATTATTATTTTTTTTTTATATACGTTTTGTTTGATGTAGATTCTTAGTTATTGTAGTGCCTAAGTAGTATTGCGGACTCAATTCAAAGGTTGATTGTATTTGCATAAGTTAAACAAATGCTGCCATAATCACTCTTTCTTTAAAAAATTAAGAATAATGATTATTATTATTATTATTATTATTATTATTATTATTATTATTTTAATGAACAATGTTCATTTTGGTAAATATTTTGAAATATAGCAGTTTGAATGAAAAAAAAAAAAATTTAAAATAAAAAAAATTTTCTTTTTAAATTTATTTATTAACGATCCGTTTACGTTTTTTTTTTTACTCTATGGTGTTATGATTGGTTAGGGGAAAAAGCGCGGGAAAAAGGAATTTTTAAATGAATTTAAGATTATGAAAAACTTTCCGAATATAAAAAAAAAAAACGTTTTTTTTTTCGTACGAGTTATATTCGACACGTAAATATCCATATTTAAATGAACCGCGCCGCCATTTTGAGCTGCGTGATTATTACTCTATGACTTAACGACGGTTATATGAAATTTGGCAACAAGTGATAATATTAATTTACAATCACAAGATGAGTAATACATAAATGATTATAATAACTTTTACTTTTGTCTGTTACTTAAACGGTAACAATTGGATTATTAAGGTTATTTGAATGTCACACATGTCGTTTAATTAGTGTAGAATGTAATTACATTAAAAATAACAAATATCCTCGTTAGGGTTTTTTTATTTTTTTATTTATTTTTAATTATGAATTATTCAATAAACGCAAGAAGAAAAATACTTGGTAACTACGACGTCAGTACATCAGAAGATGAAGAACAATTACTCGATGATGGTATTAATTCTGATAATCCATCATACGAACCTTCTGTTTTTTTCAAAACTACTGACGTTCAAGATAGGTATTGATTTATTTTAACGTTTAAAACTTGAAACTTATGTTTTATTTTTTTTTCTTACACTCATGTAATCATTGTTTTTATTAAATCATTTAATTTCAGGTTTAAATTTGGATACATAACATTTTATTTACTTGGAATACTCACATTATTACCATGGAATTTTTTCGCTACAGCAACAGATGTAAACATTAATTAATATTTTATACTATTTTGTTTGATTTTACATAAAAAAAACTGTAAATTCTTGCATTTATCTTTTAGTATTGGATGTATAAATTTAGAGATGTTAATGGAAACATGTCTCATACGAATAAAACAGATTTACAAGCAGAATTTACTTCTTATTTAAGTATAACTTCGACAGGACCTTCATTATTTTTTTTATTTTTAAACATATTATTTACACACAAGTAAGTAAAACTTTTTGATTATTTAAACATGATGAAATCAATTTGAAATTAAATGTTTGTAATTATGTTAAAATTTTTTTTTTTTTTTTTCGTTTTACAGAATTTCATTTCAAATTCGAATTTTAGGATCATTGATTATAATTTTACTTTGTTTCATATTAACAACCATATTGGTTTATGTTAACACTGATAAATGTAAGTGATAAGAATTTAACTATCGATTACATTACTTCATCATGTTTATTATTATTGATTAATTTTTTCTTTGTTTATTTCAGGGAGCAATATATTTTTTGTTATTACTTTGTTGACTGCAACAGTAATGAACAGTATGTATATTAATACTCAAACTTATGTTATGTTGGTAATTTAATTAAAATTTAATTAATTTATTTAATTTCGTTTAAAAAAAAAAGTTTTCAGTGGAATTTTACAAGCAAGCGTTTGGGGAGTCGCTTCGAAGTTTCCTTCGGAATATATAGCAGCAGCGACAAGCGGTCAAGCTCTCGGTGGTATATTTGCTGCATTGGTTTGCATCAGTACATTAGCTGCAAGTGCTTCCTCTACAACGTCAGCACTATTATATTTTAGCATTGCTATAATTACAGTATTGTTATCTCTGATATTTTATAAAATTTTAAGCATGACGGTGAGTACATTTGAATCGAATACACAAATCATTTCAATTTGCAAAGGTCAATAAACTTTTGTACTTAGAAATGACTCGTAAATATAAAGCGTAAGCAAAATTATAATAATAATAATAATAATAACAAATGATTGATTGTTTCAGAGGTTTTTTAAATATTACATGTTACAAAAAACTCCTGCCAGTGAATTGATGTACGATCCGGCCGAAATAAGAGAAGTTACGTCCGCATTTGAAATATCAAACATATCATTGACAAAAATACTACAAAAAGTAAGTAATAAAAATAAATTTTAAATTTTTTTCCCTTTTCTTCTATTTCGAACGATAATTTATTATTATTATTATGGTCGTTAAGGTTTGGATTTACGGATTTTCCGTCGCTCTCTGTTTTGCCGTTACATTATCAGTTTATCCTGCCGTCACGGTACTCATCAGTTCTCTTAACGGAAGCGGAAGTTGGCAAAGTAAGTCATTTTTTTTTCTGGCCACGTTTACAAAACAAAAAAATTTCTTTTTGATTTTATGTTTTTTTTTTTTTTTATTTCAGAAAAATATTTCGTACCCGTCGTTGCATTTTTAATATTTAGCATATGGGATTATTTGGGTAGGATATTGGCTGGTTTTTTAAAATGGGTGAGTTGGATTCGATAAGAAAAACAAACAAAGAAAAAGTAAAACTTCTAAAGTCAAATTAATTTATTTTTTTTTTTATTTTTAGCCGTTGAAAAAAGAAAGACTAATACTAACGTTTAGTTTTATTCGTATCGTTTTCGTACCATTGATTTTACTATGCAATGCAAATCCGAGACAAAATCTTCCAGTTTTGATAAATAACGATTCTTATTACATCGCATTGACTTGTTTGTTCGGATTTACAAACGGTTACCTAACAAACATAATCATGGTGAATTATCGAAGGTAAGTCTTTGTTTGTTTTTATTTTTTTTTTTCCATCGATGATATACAAACGGTCGTTTGTTTTAAATCGGTTAAACCTTTTTTTTTCTCTCTCTCTCTCTCTCTCTCGCGTGCTTTTCACAGCGTCGTCGACGAATCGGAAAAAGATGCGGCGTCTTCTTTGGTTTCCGTTTTCCTTGGGATCGGTTGTGCAGCTGGCTCTGCTTTAAGTTTTCTAATGTTGAAAATTCTTTAAATTCTTCCTTTTCTGTCTTTTAAAACGTTTTTTTATGTATTTACGTACGAATGTATGCGTATCGTCGTTTTAAACAAACAACGAAAAGGTTTCATAGGTTATAGTTCGTCAATATTCTAAATGATTGAGAAACGATTTCAATTTTTTTAAAAATTCCGAATGACGTCATTTGTATGACGTCACGGTGGGAATTAAATCGTTTGCGTGGGGGGAGGGGGAGGGAGGGGAACTAAATCACTGAATTTTAATAATCATTCAAGTAAATCCATTTGAAAACGATTTTTTCCCCTTTTAAAAAATATATATATATATAATTTGTTAATAATAATCTCTATAAACGAAATAATAATAATAATAATTATAAATCACGTGATAAGTTTTATTTTTTTTTTACGACGGATCTTATTGAAATGAAAATAAATAATTTATTTATTTATTTTTTTTTACTTTTCTCTATTTTATTATTTACTTAAATATGTATATTAATTGGATTTTTTTTAAATATAATTATTGTTTCGATTATATTTTTTTTTTTTTTTTGGTTGTTGGCGTTTGTATGATGTTTGTTTGTTAGCGAATGAAAATGTGTGAATTTTACTCATTCATTCATTCACTGAGTCGGTGTTTATAATCCGATAAATGATTCATTTCATTCAAGGTTAATAACTGTGAAAGATTAAAAAAAAAAAAAAATTAATAAATAAAATAAAAGATTTAAAAATATTTTTTTATAAATATTAATTATTATTATTATTATTATTAATAATATTATTAATCGTTTAAAACGTTCGAAAATAACGTTCGGATTAAATTTTAACAAACATTCAATTAATAATTAATTTTTTGTGCGTGTGTGTGAGAGAGAGAAAGAGAAGAAATCGTTCGGTGAGTTTTCTTTAAAAAAAAAAAAAAAACAATTCAATATGGCGGTAAATTAATTATTTATTGATAATTTTATGTATGATAAATGCCTTAAATAGTATTAATAATAATAATGATGATGATGATAATGATAATTTTATATTAAATTTCTCTTGCCGCGCATTCGGTGCTGCTCCATTTTTTTTAAACGAAAACTCTTAGAATCATTCAAAAATTTTCTTGATATTATTATTATTATTATTATTTGAATAAAATTTTGTTGAATTGTTGGAAGAGAAAAAAAAAAGGAACGAATTTGTCATTATTATTATTATTTTATTTAAAAAATGGCGGCGGGGAGGAAAAAAAGAAAAGGAAAAAATTTTTTTTTATTGATTTTCACGTTTGGATGAGAAAAAATAAGAAAAAAATTTTTCTTTATTTACGGTTAACTTATTATTATTATTATTATTATTATTGTTGTTGTTGTTGTTGTTGTTGTTATTATTATTATTATTATTATTATCATTATTGTAGATAAATGCAACCCGACGGGGGTTTTTATTTTTATTTTTTTTTCATTTTTTTGTGAGAAATTTTTTGGGGTGTGGTAAAATTGTAAAGAAATAGGGATGCTCTTTTCTATCTCTCTCTCTCTCTCTCTCTCTCTCTCTCTCTCTGTCTCTTTTCATCGTTTCCATTTAATTAAAAGACGCACTCACGCACTCACTCACTCACACAAATAAAAGACAAAAAAAGGTGGGAAAAAAATTTTTTTTTTTGTCAAACGACATCTCAGCCATCTTTGACACCTTTTCACGTTTTCGACCAATAGTTTTACACGATTTAAAAAACGAACCAATGAATGTCAAGGAAAATAAAATGTCCGCTTTGCTCGGAACTAAGGGAGGCGATGTCGTAAAATGTCCAGGGAGGGGTTGTCATGGTGACGTAGCAGAAAAATCTACCTCCGGAAAAGAATCGCGTCGGCATCACCCTTCATAAAACACACACACGCACACGCACACACACACAGTCGACACGTTTTCGTCTACTCTTATTATTATTATTATTATTATTATTTTCTTTCTTTCTGTTTCCACCACGACTCGCCTTTTAACTTTCCTTTTTTTTTTTTTTTTGGTTTAATTGCGCTTGCTCGTCGTTTGTTTTTCTTTTTTCCTCTTCTTACCTTTCCACTCTCTCTCTCTCTCTCTCTTTCATTTTCCTTTAAGCGAATAATTTCCCAAAAAAAAAAAAGCTCAATAATCCTCTTTGAAATGAATTAATCATAGATTTTGATATTATGGCGACTCTTTTTCTGTTTGTTTCTTTTATACAAAAAAAAAAAAAAAAATTTTTTTTTCTAATGTTGCTGCTTCCACGACATTTCTTTTTTCATCTTTTGTTTGATTTTTCGATTACATTTTTTTCAAAAAAAAAAAAAGGATTCAGGTAGAAATGATAATTAATTAAATAGCCCGCATTTTGTATAAACGTGATGACGTCGACGACGACAGCAATCGACTCCCTCCCCTCCCCGTTTCAAACGTTTTAAGTCAGGTTTTGTTTGTTGTTGTTGTTGTTTTAAACAATAATAATAATAATAGGTAATGACGATGTTTAAAAATATGCTGGTTTAATTCATTTCATTTTTTTAATAAAAAAACAAAAAAAAATCAATGATGATGATGATGATTATCGGATAAAGTTTATAATTGAAACGAAAAATGAGAAAACCAACATGGTGGCGGTGGTTTTAATAATGAAAAAAAGGAGGAGAAGGAGGAAGTAGAAGAAAAAGTGGGAAATGTTTTTTATATAACAAAAGTATATGATGAAATGGTTGTTGTTGTCGTTGTTGTTGTTGGCTGTTGTAATATTAGGAAAATCGACAATTAAAAAAAAAAAAATGGTCGACGGTTTTTTTTTTTTAGGGTTGGTATCTCCTCGGGGTTCAATTTCAATCCTCCGATAAAATAAAATAAAAAAAAGGGAGATTCCGGGGGGAAGAAAAAAAAAGAGGGATAAAATTCTATTGTGATCTACCTAATAATGTTTTTATTTAAAAAAAAAAAAAAAAAAAGGAGGGGGCGCAGTGGGGAGCGACGAAAGAAAAATATTCGACGTTTGCGGGGATTTAAAAGTGTCGCATTTTTGCAAAAAGAATAAAAAAACATTTCGATATTTATTTTTTTTCTATTTCCACGATAATTAATTGCTTATATTAATAATAATAATAATAACAACAATTTTTCTTTCTATACCGAAACAAATAATAATAATAATAAATGAAATCGTTACGGTTTTAATCGTGAGGACGTGCGTGTGCGTTTTTACGTATAAAAAAAAAACCCAAATACGGAAACCCCATAGAAAAAAATACGTGAAATTAGAAGTAAAATAATAATAATAATAATAATAGTAATAATAATAATAATATTGAAATCCGTCTGTTAAGTGGTTGCGTTTAATTTTAAACACAAAGAAAGGTTTGAAAAAGGTTAAGGAATTGATCTTTTCCTGTTATTTGTTTTCCTTCTTTTTTTTTTGTTTAATAGTTTTATTTCTTCTTCTTCTACCACGTTAAACTATTTAAATTATTTAAATTAAATAATAATAATAATAGTAGTAGTAGGAAAACCTTTTTTTTTCTTTTTGATGTTTTTGAATTCTTTGAAAATTAAAAAAAAAAAATTAAAAATTTTTTCGAAAGATTTTTTTTTTTCTCTCTCTCATTATTTCTCTGGATCGGTGGTTTTATTTCAAAAGGTAAAAAAAACAATAATAATAATAATAATGAGGGTATCATGTTAGCGAATTGTATGAAACAACACGAGGCATAAGAGGGGAGGGAAGGGGGGGGGTAAAAACACCTCCTTTTTTTTTCATTTTCATTTTCATCCCCTTTTTTTATTTTATTTTTAATAATTACCCTTACAACTTTTTTTTTTTTTTTTTGAATATGAAATTGATTTACCTCCATTGTGTAAAACGACATTTTGTTCAAATGACAACCCTTCAAGCTAATAACTTTTCTCTCTCTCTCTCACTCGCTCACTTTTTTTTTTTTTTATTCTTTCCTCCTCCCCGTATTCTCTCTCTCTCTCTCTCTCTCTTTCATTTTTGTTTTGCCTTTGATTTTTGATTTCGTCTTTGAAAAACGGATGATTTTTTTATTATTAAAAAAAAAAAAAAAAAAAAATGAGAATTTTCAATCACGTTTCACGATTTGATTCTTTCTCTCTCTCTCTCTCTCGTTCTCTCTCTTTCTCTCTTTTAATACAAAAAAAAGGAAAAAAGGAAAACGTAAAAAAAAAACGAAAAAGAAAGAAAAGAAAAGAAACTGAATTTTTCTCCTTTTTTTCTTTTTTAAAAGCAGAAGAAAATCGATACGAATACAGAGAAATATAACTTAAGAGTGAGAGAGAGAGAGAGAGAGAGAGAGAGAGAAATGTGGACTTTTTAATTTTTTTAGTAGTAATAATAATAATAATATTTTTCGTATAAACGACGACAATTTTTTAATTAAAAAAAAAAAAATTTCGGTTTTTTTTTTTTTTTTTGTATTGTACGCGTTGGTTTTTTTTTATTTTTTTTCCTCACATCCCTCGAAGGTTTTCCAGTATCGAGTAGATAAAAAAAAAAAAATTGTTTTTTCCAGGGAAAATCATCCCTCGCGATTTTTTAAAAAACTCGATTGGGGCGAAACCCTATAAATCTCTACAACAACCCAAGGGTATTGGTACTGATTTCATATCATTCCTTTCTAAATTTCCATTAGTGAAGTTTTAAGTCCAATTAATTTTAATATTTCTTTTATCTTTTTCCATCTTTCTCTCCCTCTCTATATCTCTCTCTCTCTCTCTATCTCTCTAAAGGGATGAAAATAAATTTTTTTTTTCCCTCGTCCTTTTATAAGGTTTCCATTGCAAACAACAACCAAAGAACTTTCAATTATCATTGCTCACCTAAAAAAAATTTTATTATTATTAATATTATTATTATTATTATTATTATTATTATTATTACATGGCGTTTCGTTAATAATTTTTATTTTTGTAATAATAATTTATCGGTAAAAAAAAAAATTTTTATTATTATTATCATCATCATAACCGGGAATTCGTCGAAGAGAC